ATCAAATTAAGCTAAAAGGAAGGCAACAGAAAATGAAAATTTTTCCTGACAAGCAATTCACTTCATTGAATTTTCTTTGAGATAATCAATCCACAAAGTTATCGGGTGACTCCTTCCTAGGCTACCTGATGCAACTCACTTTCGTACCCAAAATAACAACCATAAATTAACTTATAAGATTTCTGGTTCAATTCCATTGAACCAGATTCAATCAAGAAAGACAAATTCTGTAAATGAAGAACTCACCCTAATAATTTCGAATTTTACTCATTTTAATTGACCTTGAAGAAATGTACACTAAAGAAGTCTATTTACCAGGGACTTCTCATGCACTTATGCAGGCAGCTAGATATTGACGGTGAAACTACCAGACCACGTATCTTGTTTGCGGTGTTTAAAAATCTCCACTCACATTTTATTTTTTTGAAGGAGATCAAATCAATATCATTCCTTACAATTTTCACAGATTTTTCTCTGCACAAAGAGGAAAAATCGCGGAAGTTTTCACAAATTGACGTTGAGTAGTTTTCTATTTAAAAAATAAAGTATGACAGGAAGTCTGCAACGTTGCAAACCAAGATATCTTTTACACGAATGCGTTTGATTGAAAAATATTTTTTCATTAAATCTGATTGGCAAAAGGAAAAGAAATCTTGTCATGAAACTTGAAATAATAACACGAAGTTGTTAAAAGACAAAATTTCAATTGACAACCGATTGACACTTACAAATTTCAATAACGCGTTGCGGCCAGTAAGCATGAGTAAGTTTCCACCAGCCAGGTGTAGATTCTCGAGATTTGAAATATGATTGATAGTGATCCAAGGTCCCGGTGACTGTTGCTCGCCAATTGGGTCCTCTTTTGCTCTTCGGTCTAAAAACAAGGAAGATTGTGATGAGTCTTTATTCTTAATATGTCCACAGATTGTATTTTTTTAAAATCCATTGCATTTCATGACAAGCAAGAGTTTTTACTTTTTACACCAAGATTTAACACCTGAATTCTTCCAAAAGATAAACGGCCATGAAAAAAGGTCCAGTTTTTGATAAAATTCGTTTAAATATGGGGCAGGGTTGCCACAGAATTTGGAAAGTAAAAATTCCTGACACTTTTTAGCAAAATTCCCTCACAATTGAAAGGATGACAAATGGTTAGAAATACATGATTTGAAAGAGTTTAAAGGCAAAATTTGTTCAGCGAAACGTCAAACCCATTCTGAAAAGCAGATAAAGGTGATTTGACAATTTTTCGTGGACATTTTCATCATTTTCCCTTACATTTCCCAGTGTTCACAGACTGAGGCAATTCTGAAGTCTTTGCTCATGAATTTAAGGCCTTGTTTCCACAGGACGTTTAACGAGATTTAACCCAAGTTCGAGCCATAGGAATGAAACTTCCGGGCTTTTTCCTCATTTGACAACACAAAAAAATTTCTTCTCTTCTTTTTTAGTCATTCTTGGAACTCCGCAAGGACTCTAAGTTGGTACTGTGATTAGTATTGACCAACTCAATATTTTTCCCAACTTCGCAAGTAAGATTTTTCCCTGGGACATCACTTGGTTCATTCACCACATAAAATTATTTATGTCGAATGATGCTGTTCTCTGATGTGACATTTATCTCTTTTCTTCTTTCCCCAGTTCTAGCATGCAAGAATCTTGACTATTTAAACAGGGATTTAAAACTGACAATTTTCCCTGAGATAGACAACCGTGCCAAAAATTTCAGTTTTGAATAATTATAATTTGAACTCGAGGGTACTGAAATTGACCCGCAACTATTAGAAAATCCAGGGGGAAAAATTCTTGACATTAAAGATACAGACTGAATGATTCTGTTATGAAAACAACATCTTTGACTTTCACAAGAGACAGGCCGGTCAGTTGAATTGATGAAAAGAATATTATGTTAATTAAAACAAGAATAATAAAAGGTTCTTGTTTAGACTTACGTTCCAAACAAAGACTTCCAGTGTTCATTGATAAAGCTACAAATATGCACTTTCCAATGAAAATATCCATCTCTACTGATATTGCTAGAGTGTTCTTGTAAGCTATATAAAACTACGAGAAGTATATCTGACCTGAAACAGGGAAAATTAAGTTGATGAAATTGATTAAAGGATTTAGTGTGAGGATAAAAAATAAATCTTCAGTTAATACTCTCATAAAAAATAGTGGATCTTCATTGGAGGTAAGTAATATTCAAGGCCAGAATTATTACTTACAGCCTTCTTCATTACACTAATATGGTAGTTGACAGCCCTTACGGAGCTGTTGGCCAATGATACTAAAATCATACATGCTTAACCGGTAAAAGTTACGGCTGTAACAAAGAATTTTCATCTTGGAGATAAAATAACAAGAATATTAGCACTCTCTCTTTAGTCAAAAAACCATGAAGTAATTCTTTCAGTACGTAGATTAAAAGAACACATTTATCAGTCCAAACACAGCCTTGATTACCAAATTAAATTACACTGTTGAAGGCAAACTTTCATCTTAAATTAATAGGGTGGTTATATAATGGCCGCAGTCTCATTTCCTTCCATTTCCTTAGAAATTTCTCGCATTTAGTTATAATTTGGAACTGTTAGGAATAATTAGACCTTGAATTTGAAAGTCTGAATATTTCCTGACAAATAACTGAGAAAATGACTGACACACAAAATAGTCTGCTGACAGTGGATAAGTTCAGAGCTGTAGGTGTTCAGAGCACAAGGCGTGGTAAGTGTTCAGAGCTCTCTTATCGTTTCCAAGTTTGGTTGCTCCTGTAATGAGAAACATGTTCAAAAACTGCAAGGTTTGTGTTTTTGGGAGGACCTCAGCAACTTTAATTCTTTACTTACTGTCAAATCTTTTGCTGAAACACGAGGGACTACTGGACTGCTCTGCTGTTCAGATTTTCTACCTCTAGTACCTCTGTTTTCTACTCAAATCAGAAGTGGTGATAGAATAATTTCACCATCCTTATTACTTTAGCCAGCCGCTATTAAAATTATGATGAGCTCTGAAAAGCACAGGGTAATATACGATTTTTATAGTCGTTATAAATTGAAGGTAATAAAGGTTGCGCTCTGGGGTCAGAGATCCTTACCATTTTGGTTTCACTTTGAGCACAAGTTCATCCTTCTTGTTGCAGCCCTTGCAGGTGAAGAAATAAAACACGTCACCGATTATCATGGGATACTTCATGTGCTTTATGGAAGAGAGACATTTCTGATGGACTTTACAATTGCACTTGACACAAGTTAAATACGAAGTAGCGGCCGAAACACCCGCCTCTTTCCCGCATACTTTGCACCGCATTGGAGCAGAAAATCGAATTCGGTGTCAAACCTCGGAGAAAACGACACATGGACACATCTTTGGAAGGTAACACGACTAAGAAGTGATTGTAGTTAATTTAAAAAAAGAAACACACGGACTGAAACTTCGGGATTTCACTGTAAAGTTGTCTCTCAGCCGGGTTTCGCGATTGTTTATCACTTGGAGCTTTGTTATGAAACTTCTTCTTTCTCCACACTGCATCGTCAAACTTCCGCGCGGGCACCATTCATCAGTTTATTTTGGCGCCTGATATGAAATTGCGCACCTTTAATCTCTGAGCGCAACCTCGATTGAAATCTTTTGGTGCATTGGTAATACTGGCGTATACTGCCCGAACCCTCAGAATACCCAATTTTTCCATCTACTTTTTTCAATTCTTTCAGCATGCATAGCAGAACTCGTTCTCACGAGTTTCCTTCATTTCTCCTTTCTCTGCACTGCTTGCTTGTCGTGTCGCTGATAGAATAATAGGATCGCATTTAACAAAAAGGAACCATAAAGGAACCAGCGTGGTGACAGTGTTTTCAAAACCTTGCAACTCATTTTATTCGTTTATAATTGCTTCATTTATATACAATATTAAAATATACACCATTGTTTATAAAATTAATAATTCTTCGGCGGGAAGCAAACACTTTGCCATTCTGAGGGATTTGTTATATAATTATGAAGGAGCAACATTTTTACAATGTAATCGCGCTGGTTCCTTTTTGATAAATATGATCCAATAAGCACTACCTCTCTTGACGTATATCTCTCATAAAAACCATCAAGTAAACGTGCCGGAGGGGGAGAGGTGCATAAGACACGTTTACTCGTGTTGGACACATTTTTTTGCAAAAGCCCGGTCAACACTACTGGCAAAATCTCACGGAACTTTGCGCAAAAGTTAAGTTCCGTAAACCTATCTCTGTGTGGACAGGGTCTTCCATTTCTAAGTACTAAGCGAAAAAATTATGAAATAACAAACATACATAATTAAGGTTTAATAATTTTAACTTCCGCCGCGGCCGCCGCGCCGCGCTGACCGCACTGTATTTGGGCGCAATGCGTGAAGTATTCATGCAGTCTTGTAGGCGCTATGCGTTTCCCGACGACCGCTGCTGACCGCACAGCGTTTGACGCAATGCGTGAAGTATTCATGCACTCTTGTAGGCGCTATGCGTTTCCCGACGACCGCTACTGACCGCATAGTGTTTGACGCGATGCGTGAAGTATTCATGCAGTCATGTAGACGCTAATATGTGTTACACGCTGACCGCTGCGCTGAGGGCTTCTCCTTTTCATCTCAAGTCCTCGTCATCATTGTTCTCTGCGCCGCGCCGTTCCAGGCCAAATAATTGAAATAGTCTTCATACACGCTGGCCTTGTCGATTTCCTTTGACAATTTTGCAGTCATGAATGCATAGCTGAAGTGCGCTCCAGCTAGAATTGTATTTAGCAAATGGGTGGTTTTTATACGAGGATTAAAAATAAACAAGTGGTACGGAATATAACAAAAGAATATGAAGTATGCAAAACGATTATCCGGGTATCGGAACTTGGCTGTTTGGAAAACGCCTTCAAATGCGGCGTGATACCTTACGCATTCCGGAGAGTTCAAATAGTTGTATCATTGCGCCTTAGAAATGCGACGGAAGATCACAATTGATCCTTCATACACGCTAGGCTTGTCGAGATCCTTTGACATTTTTGCAGTCATGAATGCATATCTTAAGTGCGCTCCAGCTAGAATTGTATATAGCAAATGGGTGGTTTTTATACGAGGATTAAAAATAAACAAGTGGTACGGAATATAACAAAAGAATATGAAGTATGCAAAACGATTATCCGAGTATCGGAACTTGGCTGTTTTGAAAACGCCTTCAAATGCGGCGTGATACCTTACGCATTCCGGAGAGTTGAAGTAGTTGTATCACTGCGCCGTAAGAATGTGACAGAAGATTAAAATGGAAATAGCCTCCATGCACTCTGGGCTTGTCGATTTCCTCCGACATTTTTGCAGTCGTGAATATATAGCTGAAGTGCGCTCCAGCTAATATTGTATTTAGCAAATGGGTGGTTTTTATACGAGGATTAAAATTAAACAAGTGGTACGGAATAAAACATAATAATAGGAACTTTGCAAAACGATGATCCGGGTATCGGAACTTGGCTGTTTTGAAAACGCCTTCAATTGCGGCGTGATACCTCACGCATTCCGGAAAGTTCAAAAAGTTGTATAATTGCGCCTTAGAAATGCGACGGAAGATTACAATTTTATTGGGTGTTTGGTTTCTCTCTTAACTCGACTAATTGAAAGTGCTGCCTATTGTATCACCGAAAGACGGCAAAATTAGAAATTACTATACTCTCAGGAAATGAGAGATTTTGTCGCCTTTTCTCGTTTGTAATTTTTTTTTTTTTCTGAATACGATTTTGTTGTACCTACATTTAAAAAAAATTTCAAAATTTGTCGCCCCCTAAATTTGCCACCATGGGCACGAGCCCATGTGGCCACTCCCTCAATCCGGCCCTGATGACATCATTCATCGCAATCAAAGCTTTTGGAGCGACGTACAAGAGTGGTTTTTGAACAGATAACTATTCGCGCTACCCTGTATGCTTGTTGCCTATACAGCAAAATTGAAGGCTGACTTCAGATGGACGATAGCATGCGAGCACTGCACTGATGAGCCAAGGAAAAACGCCGCATGAACATTCGAGAGTTGTAAAATTTCCTTGGATAAAATGTCTATTTTTGAGGAAGGCTATGAATATTTTTCCTAGAAATTTTCAGGACTTTTGGGTGAAATCGCGAGCAAAATCATCTGGAAAATTGGAAGGATTTTCCTTGAAAATTTTCCCGAAAATTCGTGCTTTACCAAGGAAAATTGGACAACGCATGAAGGCTCATACGGCGTTTTTCTTTGGCACGGTAGGGCATGTGTGGTATGATTGTATTTTCGAAAAGCTTACGTTTTGAGTCCTCATTCAGAAAACCGATGAATTTCCCAGAAATTTGGGGTGTAGTGGTTCAATGAATCGTTTGGTCCAAAACAATAAAACATACCTAAACTCAAACAAAAATTTTAGGATTTTAGTCAGAAAAGCTGAAAAAGAGAAAATTCCTAACGTAAAATGTTTATTTTTGAGGCAAGTTATGCAAATATTGCCTTGAAATGTTCAGGAACTTTAGGCGAAATTGCGAACAAAATCATACGAAAAATTGGGGAAAATATAGTCGTTTGTTTACCAGGAAATTCGCATTTTATCAAAGGATATTTGGCAACACCTGAAGGAAGGTTCATACGGCGTTCTTCCTCAGCGTCAGCACGGCGGCACAGGTGAGAGATTCAGTGGCGTGGCGTGCTTTGCGATATATCGATTGATCTGCCATTCAAACCCATGAAAAACTATCGATAAACAGGGTGTTCGCAACGTACACCTTGATCGATTCTTTAATACAGCTTTAAATGGGGGGAAATATCGGTAATCGATCATTCACGTCTCGCCACTGCTGCCGTGCTAAGGAAGAACGCCGTATGAACATTCCAGAGTTGCCAAATTTTCTTCCATAAAATGTTTAATTTTGAGGGATGCTATGTATAGTTTTCCTCGAAATTTTCAGGAACTTTAGCTGAAATTTCGAGCAAAATTATCTGAAAAAGTGGAAGGAAAATATTTATAAGTTTACCAGGAAATTCGTGTTTTATCAATCGAAATTTGGCAACAGGTCTAACTAAAACCGACAATTGCTATAGTAAATTGTTAACTTTATTTAACATTTTTGAATAACATTAACAGCTTAAGCTATAGATTAAATTATTAAACTTTAAATAATTTAAATTTATTTTAGTAAATTTAGATAAATATAGCTATATGCAAAGGCTCATACGGCGTTCTTCCTTAGCATGGCAGACTGGAGAGACTCTCCAGCAAAGTGGCAACCCGCGCTGACCCCCGCACTCTCTCAAGCCCCAAGAATGACGGAACCTGCGTTCAGGAATTCCCGCAAGCTCACCCGACAACGCCGCAAGTCCAACTTACGTAAAGTACCAACTCCTTTCTCGCTCGTTCGCCTGGGCTCTCTGCTGCCTCTACCGCCGTGTCCCCCCCGCACACCCAGATCCCCCCATCCCCCCGCCCCCGGGTCGGTGGGTCCGCGGGCCCTGGCACTCTCACTTTCTGCTCTCATCGGGGACCCCGTCTCAGTCGTCTGCCAGCTTCCTTGGATCCTACGTCACCGGATTACGTCGCGTCGAGACCCGCGTCCATGTGGTTCTTCGTTTGAAGTGCGGAGTCGGAATCGATTTGTTACAGCGCGAGGCGCCGCCGTTTCAGCCGCTGGATTTTGTTAGTGACCGTCGGGCCCGTGACCAGCTTGGAATTCTCCCACGACTTCAGGGTACGTTAATTTCTTGAGCTTTTTTTGGGTCGCGGAAAGCTCGACCTAGATTGGACGTCTAAGGAAGAACGCCGTATGTACCTTCAGGCGTTGCCAAATTTCCTTGAATAAAACACCAATTTCCTGGTAAACTTATCAATATTTTCGAGTCTTGTGCGTACCACATGGCAAAGAAAAGCTAAATGGTTAGGAATTTTCTCTTTTTCAGCTTTTCTGACTAAAATTCTAAAATTTTTGTTTAAGTTTAGGTATGTTTTATTGTTTCGGACCAAACGATTCATTGAACCACTACCTCCCAAATTTCTGGGAGAATCATCGTTTTTCTGAACGAAGATTCAAAACGTGAGCTATTCGAAAATACAATCATACCACACCTGCTCTGCCGTGCTTAAAAAGAACGCCGTATGAACCTTCAGGCGTTGCCAAATTTCTTTGAATAAAACACTAATTTCCTGGTAAACTTATGAATATTTCCCTTCCAATTTTTCAGATAATTTTGCTCGCAATTTCACCTGAAGTTCCTGAAAATTTCAAGGAAAAATATTCATAGCTTTCCTCAAAAATAGACATTTTATCAGAGGAAATTTGACAACTCTCGAATGTTCATACGGCGTTTTTCCTTAGCTCATCAGTGCAGTGCTCGCATGCTATTGCCCATCTGAAATTAGCCTTCAATTTTGCTGTATAGGCAACGAGTATACAGATGAGCGCGAATAGAAATCTATTCAAAAAACACTCTTATACATCGCTTCAAAAGCTTTGATTGCGATGAATGATGTCATAAGGGCCGGATTTAGGGGGTGGCCACTTGGGCCCCGGTCCATGGCGGCAAATTTTGCAATGTTTTTAAAAGTAGGTATAAAAAAATCGGATTCAGAAAAAAAATACAAACGAGAAAAGGCGACGAAATCTCTCATTTCCTGAGAGTGTTGTAATTTCTGATTTTGCCGTCGATTGGAATGGGTTGGACGTCTATGGATATAATGGGACATAAGGATCATATTTTAATATTTCAAACGATTTCTAGTCTCTAAGATTGGAGGCAATTTGACAAGGAACGGAGGCTTCTTTCAATATAATTTTCCGGTCAGACGTTTCTGAGCCCGTTTTCTCGAAACTTCATTTTTGCACATACTGCTCTCCTCGCTCGCTATCACGGCAGCATTGACATACCGACTGGTCCGGGCTCAAAGGCCGGAAGTTTCGGTTGTAGAAGCCGAAGCTTCGACCACTCCGGGTTCCGTGTCTGAGGCAACGGTTTTTACACTCGGAAGTTTTGGCCTCTAAGCCTGGAAATGACGATACGTCAACGTAGCGCGTAATTATGACGTTTAGAGCCGGACGTGGAGTCAGTTGTTGCCGGACGGACTTTTTGGCTGGACTGCAACAAGACAGTTGCGATTTCGCAAGTTGGCAACACTGATTTTTCTCCATTCAAATCTATCAAAAATATCGAATTTAAGTGCGGCAAGCCGTCTCACTAAAAATGGATTGTTTGACATACATTTAAATGGAGGAATAACAGTCTTACCAACTATCAAGGAACACCATTGCAATTAGTTGTGGCTGAGGCGGCTGGATTTCAATAAATTAAGGCTCAGTTATAATAAATTAGGAATGATCATTTCTGGCAACACTGATTTTTCTCCATTTAAATCTATTAAAAATATCGAATTTAAGTGCGGCAAGCCGTCTCACTAAAAATCGATTGTTTTATATACATTTAAATGGAGGAATAGCAGTGTTGCCAACTTTCAAGGATCACCATTGCAACTAGTTGTGGCTAAAACGGCTGGATTCCAATAAATTAAGGCTCCGTTATAATTAATTAGGAATGATCATTTGGACTGCATTTTGCAATTTGGACCTATAAACTCTGGCTCAGCTGAAAAAAACACATATGTGCATAGGGAAACTAATGGCACATACGTTGTTTTTAAATGAGATCTGCTAGATGCTCCGCAGCCAGTGACAAGATATACAATAAATAACAATTTAAAAAGCGGGTAACAAGGCTAAAAATTCACAAACAAGACCAAAACGTTTCGGCTGAAAATTCAGCCATCCTCAATTGGATAAATAAAAATAAAAATGGTTAATAATAAAAATGGTTCAATGGTTGTTTTTAAACCGGACCGGAATTTATAGTTCCTAATTGCAAAATGTAGTCCATTTCATAGTTAGGCTTGGATCACAGTCCCTTTTCACCGCGCCGTTGAACAGCGGGGAACCATCCACATTAGATCTTATGGAAAAGAATCTTTCGATTTTATGAATCAGGTCGAGATTAACAGAAAGGGATCAAGTTTTTTAAAACAAGAGAAACCCATGAGTGTTGCTACCCTATCTGTCCATCAGAAAATGTTTCATCCCTAAAAATAACAGTTTCTACTATTGTCGGGATATTAAAAAAGAATTTCTATAGCTACCTCTAGCTATGCTTCTTTGCCAAAGACATCGTTACTTTCCCTCAGAGGTTTTCTTTATTAGAAGAAAATTCCAAAAGCTTCTATAAAACTATTACGACTAGTGTGACATTTTCATGTGGTGATTAGAGGTGGGTGGAAGAGTAGACGTGGGGGAAGGATCTACCTGCCTGTATTGTCCCATCTACATCCCATCTATCATACTTGTTTTTAAAATAACGTTTGTGCAATATGTAGTTTCACGATAAAGAAAGGTGATTTTATGGATGAGCCTGTGATTCCTGATTGCAAAAGTTAGTCCAATGGAAGGTATGAATTTCTGTTGACCAAATGATTATTTAGTTGACAATTGTGAGTTCTGCGTTAGATCATGGAAAAAATGTGACTTATTGACGCACGGATAGACAATTTTAGTCCTTACGTCATTAGAGCTATATTCTCCACCAAAATATTTCAAATTAAATAAATTCCAGTCTGAATAAAACAAATGATCTGTTTTCCACATGTCCTCATGTCATCGTGGTGCTAATTTTGCCAATCTCTATTTGATGAGCATTTGTAACCATAATTGATGATTTAGGACCTCGTGTTCTTTATTTACAACACGGCCGATTGTTTCATGAAAGAGGACACGCGTCGATAATGTGAGAACTCCACATACTTTTTTCCCAGCCATTTATGAGCATTCTCAAAATATCAAATGAGAAATAAAGTGTTAGTTAAATTTCTTTTAAAGAGCGGAAATTTGGAAACATCTATATTGATATGAAGGTGTTTTCCAATTTTACTTTCGTTGTCGAGTATGAAAACTTTAGATGAGCAATAAAGATCCGTTATCGCAAAGTGCAATGCTGCAATCAATTTTTATTCTCACGATGAGAGACTCAAACGCTAGCGTAGGAAAAACAGCAAATTAGCTAACCCGAATTGAGGATGCAAAAATGTTAACTGTGCTTTTCTCTCTCCCTCTTTCTTTCTTTCTTTCTCTTTTTAAATTCGTAACATATTATACTATGAATGAGCTCATCGTTGATCATATCAGATTCATAAAATTTGAAACGAGGCAAAGTTAGTATCACATTTTTGTCTTCAATTTTCCTGTTTTTCCGTGTGTTCTCGAAAAAAATTCTAAATTGCTGTTTCATGAAAACTGATGTGATAATTGAAAGTCGCCCTCGAGTTTTTCAAGCATAACTGTCATACATTTCTAAAAAAGGTTGAATGAGTTGGCTCGTAATAAAAGACATTTTGAACTTAAACCACATCGTAAATAGGTGAATCCGATGAAATTATTTCGCGTGGTTGTCGTTCAACAATGAGTGTCCAGACGATTGCGAAATACTTTAGCAGTCTATGGCTCTTGAGTCAAACCTTTTCGGAGAGACAGCAGGGCCAAATAACTGGGTCGGAGTTAAATTTGCACTAGTCGTTTAACGTCGTGGCAGACCGGTCAAACCACAAAGCGAATTTTACGGTATTAACCGCAACCATGTCCATTCATTGCAGACTCAATCAACATTACTAAGAATGTCGCTGAGTTCTTGGTACTAAGATAACGGTCAGCATGGGTCTTGCAACATTCTCTCAATTCGTACCTTTCCGTTGGAGTGGCTTGAAGGAGAGGAAGATAGATCTCCCTTTCCTCTTTTTTATTCGTGGAGACTTCAAGCGCGAAAATGGTTACGATATTGGATGGGTAAAACGTCGGTTAAGGATAACGTCCAATCCTGCCGTGATAAGGAAGAACACCGTAAAAAAACTCGAGAGTCGCCAAATTTCCTTCGATAAAACGTTCATTTTCAAGGGAAATAATGCATATTTTCCCTTGAAATTGTCAAGACTTTAGGTAGGATTGCGAACTAAAATATCCGAAAAATTAGAGGAAAAATATTCCTGAGTTTACCAGGAAATTCGTGTTTTATCAAATGTAATTTGACAACGCCTGAAGGCTCATACAGCATTTTCTCTTAGCACGGCAGAATATAACAGCCGCCACCTATTCTGTCATGCTATGAGGAAAAAAGCCGTATGAGCCTTCAGACGTTGCCATATCTCTTCCAATTAAAAATAAATCTACTCGGAAAGTTGTAAATACTTATTTTTTTCAAATTGTTCTAACAATTTTGTTTAAAATTCTATCTTAAGTATATGAAAATTTCAAGGAAAAATATACAAAACTTTGCTCAAAAATACACGTTTTATCCGGTGAAATTTGGCAACTCTTGCATTTTCATACGGCGCACAGTGGATCGAGTCAATCAGAGAGGTAGGACATGAAATTTTTCACTAAAATTGTAATTGTTGATGGCTCTTTCGTCATATTTTAAATTTAGAGGGGTGCTTCTAAAAGAAAACTTCACGAAGAAACCAATGGAGCCACTTTCAAAGCCTCTAAGTTTTGTATAAACGGAGTTATAAGCTTTTAAAGTTTCCAAATTTTGTCCGACCTCTCCCTTGACTCGATCTACTGTGCGGTGTTCTTCCTTAGCACGGTAGTATTGAACTTGCCGCCGCAGTCTTGAAAAATTTTTGACGCGAGAGTCCATAGAAGTTTAATGTCTATGTTTGGTTCAA